CTCCCTTTGAAGGTCTCTCTCTCTAGAACATGGAGAAAGAGGTTTGTCTTATTCCACTTCTGCACCTGTCCACCTGAGCTAGGCCTAGCCTGAGCCTCCATCTCTGTGTAGATCCTATGAGTCTCCTTCCCATGGCCAATGTGCAGCCTCTCACATGGGCTCCAGGCCCACCGTGCTTCCTGGAGCAGACTTTAGAGGAGGGGGTCTCAGGGAAGATCACATTCCCTCTCCCCCAATTCCAAGCATGAATACAGAGTCTTCTCTCATTTTCCCAAGGTTATAAGGTTAACACCTTCAAGGCTGAAGGCTTAGACCAGGCATGGTGGCCCACACTTGTAATCCTAGCACTCTGGGAGACCAAGGTGGGAGGATCGCTCAAGGTCAGGAGTTCGAAACCAGCCTGAGCAAGAGCAAGACCCCATCTCTACTAAAAATAGAAAGAAATTAATTGGCCAACTAAAAATATATAGAAAAAATTAGCTGGTCATGCACATGCCTGTAGTCCCAGCTACTCTGGAGGCTGAGGCAGAAGGATCGCTTGAGCCCAGGAGTTTGAGGTTGCTGTGAGCTAGGCTGATCCATGGCACTTTAGCCCAGGCAATAGAGTGAGACTCTGTCTCAAAAAAAAAAAAAAAAAAAAGCTGAAGGCTTGGGGTTGACAAAAGAGAGTTGCAATTATGGGGGAAAAAAATTAAGTTGGCGGTTTCTATGGACTCTCCTGGAGTCCACTGGCCCATGGCTGGGGCACCCGCTTGCCTGCTCCTACCAGGCCTGTCATCTGATTGCAGAGCTAATTTAACTCCCACAGACAGGAGGGCCCTTGGCCAGGTCTGGAGTCCAGGCCCAAACCCTCTGTTTTCCCCAAGAGGTAAGAGGAAAGTCTCCCCTCTGCCTAGGTAGCTCTGTCTGCCACCAACCACATGACAGCATTTTATATTAGCATACATGGCCATTTATTTCCTCTTGTTTCAACCTGTCCATTCCAGAATCAGCTCTAAGCCTTTCCTCTGCATAACCAAAAAGCCCAGTGTTTTTCCCAAAACAAAAAGCAGTCCTTTACTTTAGGTGGATTCCATTCTCACCCCCCAACCCCACCACTTCCTCTTACTAAACAGAAAACAGCTGAAGCTTTGGAATTATGAGATGCCTTGCTTCCAGCCTTCAAGCTTGCAGGGTATCAGGGTCTGACATGAAAGCACCCCACCACATAAGTAATACTCAGACATGACAACCCTATTTGGGCCAGTCACAGATGGAGGCAGAAGGTGCCAGTCAGCCTTCAGAAGCAGGTCTTTCCGCGAGGCAAGGTTTTAAACTAAGCACACAATTAGAATGGCCTTCCAGGCTGTAGTACATGGCTTCATCAGCCAGCAAGACCAAATTATCCCTGTGTTTACTTTCTTAAAAAAAAAAAAAAAAGGCAATGACCTATGAATAAACAGCACTTGACATTGAAAATTGCCACATTAAATACCCAGCTCCTCTGCCCTAATACAGCAGCCTCCGGAACTCTTCCAAATTGTCACCTAGGATGAATATGACAGCAAACAATGCTTTAAAAGTAAGTAATATGCTCTATAATTATTTTAGCGGCTGCAATTGCCAACCAGCAGGATCACTTATGAAAAAGGATGCAGTCATTCCTTATGAAAAATGCATGAATATACAGTCTCTTGATTGTGGAAATAATCAGCAGACTATCTAATGTAACAAGACTTAGCCACAGAAGAATTAATTAGGGTGAAATTGATTAAGGAGAAGAGGGTAAAATCTATCTGTGATGAGTCAGGCTCCAATTAAACTCAAGCATTAATTCTCACATTCTTTTCAAATTAAGAACCTCATCTAAATGCTCCATATTAATATTCCAACCTACCCCACCCTCCTTCCTTCAACCAGAGAGAAATGCAGACATTTCTAAGGAAAGCTACAGATCCTGTTCTTGTTGACTCTAAAGACTCTCTGTCTTAAAGGTTTCGGGAGATTAGGGTTTTCATTATTTTAAATAAAAGATGAGGGTGGGTGGGTTGTGAAATCACCAAATTCATTCTGCTTTTGAGCACTTAAGATTTTTGTTAGGAGATTTCTCAAAAGCTAAAGTAAGCATGCAACACAAATAATTATGTAACAGCCTCCTGAATTCTCTTTGTCTTGTGGTAACCTGCACTGGTCCAGATAAGGGAACCTCATAGGGTCATATATTCCATCCCATGCCTTGAGACAGAGCTCTGGCAAACCAGAGACCCATATGTAATTATCTACCATCTCCTGAGAGGCCTCCAGGGACCGGGACTCCACCACTCCCTTGGTAACGGGATCAGGCAGCTAATATATTTGCAGCTCAGAGCTCTTCCTCCCTCTCCTCCCCCTGCAGCCATTGGAAAGATGTGAGCAGAAGCTTCCCTGCACCATTGATTTTTCTCTCTCACTTTTCCTCCATTAGGAGCCCACTCTGAGGTTCCTGGCTCTCTTGTGTCCAGACCGTGCGTTTATTTCACAGGTCACTGGCCTTTCTTGTTCCTCCAGTGGCTGCTATCTTTGCAGCTCTTCTTCCACCTGCTGCCTTATTTGTTGTCCCATAGCCGGTTAGGTTGAGCACATCCTTTGTCTGGGCTGGGACCAGCAGATCACGGCTGAGAAGCATCCGGAGGGCTCTAAGCCTCCTCTGCCCCAATGCAGCACCCAGCACCGTGGGATGTGAGGATCACCAGACTTAGTGAACTGGGAGAGACAGAAGTCATCTCAATTTCAAGCCCTTTGTTTTGCCTGAATATTGTTTTCTCTTTTCCACCCCAGGAGGTTGTCATGGTTCCCATTTTACTGGGGAGCCTGAGCTGTTCACAGAGGCCTCCAAGCAGGTCTGTGAGACCAGGAAGCAGAGTCTAACTCTGCCTTGGGGAGTCCAGCCAGGCCATCCAAGGAGTTTGCCAGGCAGTGGCCAGGGGAGAGGGGATTCCTGGCAGAGGGCACCATGTTAGGGCATCTGGGAACAGCGTGCATGTGGCAGCTTCATCTTCCTGAGCCTACAACGGGGGTCCCATTTATTTACATTTATGACAAAATGTCCATGGTGTCCTCCTCCCCACACAGCCCTACCTGCAGGTCTCAACTGCTTCAAGCATAAGTGGGCAGACATCTGTGGAGGGATCTGGGGTAGATGGGCCACCACGGAGTTTTAGGACTAATATCACTGAGAGCCTCAGGAAGGACTCCAGACATTGCCCTCCCTCCCCTTAAGGTGCATCCTTCAGGGGCCCAGCCATACTATCCTGCATCTGCCCACACCTACCCCCTCCTCACCTCACATGACTTTGAATGACAAAGGAGGAATATGGAGAGGTGACAGGGCCCTGTCTCTTCTCTCAGGAAGCTCCCTCACCTCTAGGTAAATTTATGGATGCAAATTGCTATGTGGGGGCAGGGATCCTCAGGCAGCCAAGCCCCAAATGCAAATAGTTATGGGAGGGAGGGTGGTCACCCCAACTCCACCCATCCACAGAGCCTGGGATCCCAGGCTCAGTTAAAATGTCCTGTCCTCCACACACAGAGCCATGGACAGTCCTCTTCCTCTTCTCTCTCCAACTCCACCCATCCACAGAGCCTGGAATCCCAGGCTCAGTTGAAATGTTCTGTCCCCTGCACACACAGAGTCATGGACAGTCCTCTTCCTCTTCTCTCTCCTCTCTCACCTCCACCCTTTTTTTTTTTTTTTTTTTTGAGACAGAGTCTCACTTTGTTGCCCAGGCTAGAGTGAGTGCCGTGGCATCAGCCTGGCTCACAGCAACCTCAATCTCTGGGGCTCAGCGATCCTACTGCCTCAGCCTCCCGAGTAGCTGGGACTACAGGCATGCGCCACCATGCCTGGCTAATTTTTTGTATATATATTTTTAGTTGGTCAATTAATTTATTTCTATTTTTGGTAGAGACAGTGTCTCGCTCAGGCTGGTTTCGAACTCCTGACCTTGAGCAATCCGCCCGCCTCGGCCTCCCAGAGTGCTAGGATTACAGGCGTGAGCCACCACGCCCGGCCTACCCTTTTTTTTTACTCGATTCTTCTCCCATCTCTTCCTCAATTCAGTTATTATCAAACTTGTTCTAAGGACCTACCTGGGACTTTAACATTGTCCTTAGTACCAAGGAGGGAGCAAGTGAGAAAGACGTGACCCCTGCCCTAGAAAACATCACAGTTTGCAGGATGATGACATTAAGTCAATCAAAGTAAATGAAAAACCACAGTGGATGGTGTGTCGTAAAGTATTAAACTGAGTGCCACCAATTTAACATTGGGTGAAATCAGAGAAAGGGAAGAACTCTTGGGAAGGGGGCTGGGGTGATCAGGAAGGCCCCAGGGAGCAGATGGGACCTGAATGAGGTCTTGAAGCTGAATTGGCATCCCATGGAGAGAGGAAAGAGGAAAGATTCCAGGGCAGGGTGGGACTGGGCAGACGCAGGCTGGAAGGCATGTTAAGGAACCGGGGAACCTGGCTGGAAGGGAAGGTTCTTGCTGGAGAAGAAGGGGAGCCAAACCAAGTCAAGCCCTTTACTGCCAGGTTTACAGGTTAGGATTTTACTCTAGATTGTTGGTTCTCAATCTTTAGTGTGCTGCAGTGGAATGCTGGTGTGAACAAAATATAAAATCCTAAGCCCTCTGCTAACTGAACGGACCCCCTCTCAGCTCAGGGGACCCCAGAAACACCTTAAAACTGAGTTCCCAGTCATGATGGGATGGGAAAGATAAAGCACAATTACAAATGTGCATCATTTCCCTTTTTCATAAATACTCACAACTCCTACTATAGCTTGTTGAATGTGTGTATTTGACCACCCTGCACAGTATCAAATCTTGTTCCTTTTGTCTGTCCTTTGAAGCACGATGCCGGGCTTCTGGCCAGGGCTCTGCCTGCCAGCCTGTTGGAATGGCTGCCCAATAGACTGCTACCCTGTATGAGAAATAAAGCTCTCCTTTTTCCAGAGTATAAATCTCATTATTTTTTTTTCAGTTACCAAAATGGTGACCACGAAGGGACCTAGGAAGAGCCCTAGTTTCCCCCAGCGTGATTGGAGGTCCACAAACCAGCGTCTGTAGGAACCCATTGATAGCTCAGTTGTCTCCCCAACCTTGCTGGGAGAAACTCAGGTAAGCTGGGATCCAAGATCTCCTGCTTTTAAAACAAAGATCTCAGAGATTTTATTTCTCTCCACCCCTTTCCTTCATTTCTCCCCAGTTCTGGTCCCCTCCATTCCAGACTCCAGAGGGAATGTTTTTATAGGTCCCAAGTTTGGGGTGGGGGGTTCCTTGTCAGACTCAGCCTGTCCATAAGGGTTTATGAAGACACTCTCATAAGGTAAGCACAGTTATAAAAACCTTAGTTTTAAGGAAATGGTCTCCTATCCACTGCCATCACAGACACTAGTGACTAATGTGCTTTAAAAAACTATAAAAAATTCTTATAAATGTTTGACATCTAACCCAAAATTATTTAAAGCTTTCCTGGCCACAATAAAATCTTAGGAGACCTTTAGTTTATCTGCACTCTCAGTTAAAACAAAGAGGTTATCAAACCTTCCAAAACAATGAAGATAATGCTATAATTGGGTTGCAAGTTTTCCAAATGGGATCAAGAGTCTCTGATGGCTTCCCTTAATGACTGCAAGTTAAAAAAAACTCACCAAAATGGTGCAAGTGAAATATTTAGAGTTTACTCTTTCCCTCTTTCTTACCTCTTCTTTCCATCTCTGCTCCTAAACAATTGGTTTTTTTCTTCCCAACTAGTTTTTTTTTTTAATTGGTCCAAATGTTAACCTTTGTTTTTCTTCTTCTGTTTGAAAAGCTCCTATGATACCAGCTCCTGGAATGGGACACAGCTGCCTAACCAAACTTATTTATTCACAGAACTACAAAATTGACTCAAGAAGGTATGGGAAGATATGTTTAAATTTGGGTTTTTTTTTTCCTCATTATCCCAATTTGGGTTTTTTCCCCACTCACTCTTTTATCTATCTCTAACAATCTCTAACTCAAATTCCTCCACAACTATCAGTTTGGTTTTTAATATATAAAACTTTTTAGCTTCAAAATAGACAAAAGAGGTTAGAAATGTTTTGTCACAAGATGTATTTCTTTAACATATTTTAAAATGACAGTTACAACAATCTTTTGTGCAAGTGGGAGGGGAGAGTATGTGTGTATCTAAAAAACAAACAAACAAACAAACAGAACTACCTTTTCCTGATCTAAAAAGTTTTAACTAAGAAGGCTGGACACGGTGGCTCATGCCTGTAATCCTAGTACTCTGGGATGCCGAGGTGAGCTCAGGAGTTCGAGACCAGCCTGAGCAAGAGCGAGACCCCATCTCTACTAAAAAATAGAAAATATTAGCCGGGCATGGTGGCCTGTGCCTGTAGTCCCAGCTATTTGGGAGGCTGAGGCAGGAGGATTGCCTGAGCCCAGGAGTTTGAGGTTACTGTGAGCTGGGCTAATGCCACAGCACTCTAGCCTAGGCAAGAGAGTGAGACTCTGTCTCAAAAAAAAAAAAAAAATTTTAACTAAGAATCTCTACCTTTAAAGGTCTGAAAAGAAACATTTACCATCTATTCTCTCTGAAAACTATTACCCAAGGCTTCTTACATAACAAGACCACCTTTTGCTCACTAGTCAAGGCTTTCCCTCTCTCCTAAAACCTGTTTCTCTGCTTTTCAAGCCATAAGCAACCTTGAATTTCCTGTCATCTTCTACCTATGAGAGGCACATGAGGCTTTTTATATGTAAAGAGCTCAAGCATATGAAAATTTATATATATATATATATATATATATATATATCTTTCTAGTCTTAATAACATGGTTTAAATACAGCTGTCCTTTTAGACTGCACTTTTACCAGTCTCATGTCTAGACATTTTCACTTGAACCTATTGATCAGGCAGGCCAGAGAACTATCTCTGCTAAACATTTTAAGGTCATAAAACTACTGCATCTCACAGCCCGGGGCAGTGCCTCACGCCTGTAATCCTAGCACTCTGGGAGGCCCACGCGGGTGGATTGCTCGAGGTCAGGAGTTCAAAACCAGCCTGAGCAAGAGTGAGACCCGTCTCTACTATAAATAGAAAGAAATTAATTGGCCAACTAATATATAGAAAAAATTAGCCGGGCATGGTGGCGCATGCCTGTAGTCCCAGCTACTCGGGAGGCTGAGGCAGAAGGATTGCTTGAGCCCAGGAGTTTGAGGTTGCTGTGAGCTAGGCTGACGCCACGGCACTCACTCTAGCCAGGACAACAAAGCGAGACTCTGTCTCAAAAAAAAAACAAAACTACTGCATCTGTAACATTTTGAATACTTGCTAGATTTGAGGATAAACTTACATTTTTGGTTTTGAGCCTCTAGATTCTCTGCATAGGTGGCCATGGCAAGGCCTGGGGACATGTTCTCAGTGCCTAGACCAACAGCTACAAGACACAACCAAGCCTAATATGGTCACTTCTTCCCCTCCCGAGCTTTGCCTCCTGGCTACTCTAGGAGGGGTTGGAACCTCCAGGCATCGTGTCTTATGTCCTCAATTACACACCTGGCATGTGAATTGGGGACACACACAGGCCCTGCCCCTTGTATCCATCATGGATGCTGTGTGGTTAGTTAAGACCTAAGATGACAGGGGAGAACATTAGAGATGATACCTGTGTTGTAATTCGTTGTAATTTCAAAATTCTTTTCAGTGATTTAAAATCTTAAAGGCATATCATGTTAAAGATGATTATAAAATATCTGAGTTATTTATAAGTTAAAATACTAAAACAATAATTATTAAACATCAGTTTAAATTTATGTACTTTAAGATCTTTTTTTTTCTTTTTCTTTTTCTTTATTTTTTTTTTTTGAGACAGAGTGTCACTCTGTTGCCTGGGCTAGAGTGCTGTGGCGTCAGCCTAGCTCACAGCAACCGCAAACTCCTGGGCTCAAGCAATCCTCCCACCTTGGCCTTCCATAGTGCTAGGATTATAGGTGTGAGCCACCATGCCGGCCAATATCTTATTTTTATATGATAGAGAAAACTAAAGACATTTAGATATGCTAACAAAAATTGGGAACTGATAGCAGCTCAAAGTTACTTTAACGTCCTAGATTTTTCATTAAAAATAAGGGTTACTAAAAGTTAACATTATAATTAGTATATGTAATTAAACCTACTAGATATAACAGAAACAATTTTATAAACAAAACATTAAAAAATTGGATATGGTTTCTTTTTCAGAAAAAAAGGAATAAAGTTTTTTGCTTTTTAAAATCTTTAAATTATCACTTTGGGTAAACAAATGACTGTTTTATCGTAACTTATGATCCTGTTTTATGACAAATGTTTTATGACAAAAAGTGTGTTAAACCTTTGATATTTGACAAACTTTCCAAAATGAAAATTTCTAAATTGTCTTTTGTGGGCTCAAACTGAAACTGCCTTTACAAATTGATAAAGAGGTGCAAGGCAAGAACTGTGGCAAGGGCCTAGCTAAAAAATAAGGCTCAGGGCTGTTACCAAAAGCTTAGCATTTGTCCTCTAGGCCGCATCAGAAAAATGGGAACAAGTAGTTTGAGGAGAAGGAAAGAGAAGTTTATTACTTTGCCAGCAAAAGAGGAAAAATGGTAGACTTTCTCATCTCAAAAATCCAAATTTCCTGAACATAAGCAGAAATACAGAGATTTTAAAGGGAAGGCCCTCAGTTCTAGGCTACTGTGTTAATGATTCTTAATCATCTCATCTCTGCCAAAGACAAAGCCCCACCTGGGTCTACCTGGAGGGCTGGCACTGGCCTGGGATGACTGAGCTATCTCCTGTAACACAAAGAATGAAAAACCCTCTCCCTGCCTCAGGGATGCAGGCCAGGCCACAGTTCCCAAAAAGAGTGGGGGAAGTTTTAAAGAGCTGTTTCTTAAGGCCATTCCCTCTGTCACAAGACCTAGCTAAAAATAATGACAATAATTAGCCACTGTCCCCCTGTTTGCTTCTCTATAATTGCCAATCTGGAGCCACACAGCTGGTGTTCATAAAGATTCTAAGCTTTCTCCGTAGACAACATCAGATTTTTGAAACCCAGGGGTGGTTTCTGAGATATCTTCCAGGTCCTGCATTCCAAGAGAATGGCTGAGCCACCCAGACCAGTGGCCCCTACTCAACTGGTCTTGTGACCCCCACCCAAGAACCTGGTCAGCAAAGAAGACAATTTCTACAAACCTATGGTTCTACCCTGAACCCAGCCAATTAGCAGACCCAAGTGCTTATGCGCCAAACTGTCTTAAAAACCCTGTCTCCAAAATTCTATGGGAGTCAGCTTTGAGAAATTTCTCCCATCTCCTTGCTTAGCGCTGTGCAGAATTATTAAACTCTTTTGCTGCAGCAAACCCTGCTGTCTCAGTGCATGGGCTTCCTCTTGAACAGAGGGCAAATGAACCTGATTGAGTGGCAACAAAACTAGCTTTCTAAATATTAGGGCCACTGAAAATCTAAGAGAAACACATTTGGCTTACTTGAAATGTTAAAACTATACAGGAAGCATTGTCAAATATAAAATGGCATTTAACTTTCTTTGGGTTATATTTCTATAAACATGTTATTAATATGTGCTCCCCAAATTGTATGAGATTCCTAAAATTCTGATATATATTTGATATATGTTTGATATATGTTATCAATAACAATTATGGTTATTATGTTGAATTATTGTATGTCATAAAAATAACCAAATTTTCTTTATCAATTGTCTCTTAACCATGGCTATTCTAAGACCTTTTGTCATCCATAATTATTATTTTACTTTAATTCTTCTCAAAAAAGAAGTTTTCTACTAACTTTAGAGATCATAAGATTTAGACTGAACCCTGAATTCTTTCTTGACTGTAAGTCTCCAAATAAATGTTGGCAAACTCTTCTTCCATTTTTATGACTTGGACTTAATGAAATGCCACCACCTTTTTCCTGAGGTCCTACAAGCACATCTTGTGACATACAAATTCCAGGATAAACTGTTTCAAATATTAACATTTTTTTCTGTATAAAAGCTACTTCCAATTTAACTGAAGATGCTTCAAATTCAATATCTAGAAACCTTACCTAGATGCCCTCTGGACTCTAAACAAATTGGCTCACTTTAATAAAAACCTGATGCATTCATGAGAATTGCTAATGCAACCTCAAGCAGAACAAGAATTAATTACATGGGACTGAGCTAATTTTTTGTTTTTTACCATTTGCTTATAACATTGCTAATTCTTTGTTTTGTTTTCCAGAAATCAAGAAAACTCTTTTTCCTTCTTTTAAGCTATTTATGGCTTACAGCAAATTGGTAAAGCTTATTTTCTAAACAATCTGAAACATTTATTTTTCTTTCTACTTGATTTTTCCAAAATTTAGAAACTATTCATAAGTATTCTTATTTTATAACAATATAGTTATTTGTGTAAGTTCAGTAAGAATCTGTTTTTCTTTTATAACAGCACAGAATTAGAGGAATTAGAGATACTGGTTATTTTACCAAGGATTCAACTGGAATGGCATATTTTCAAATATGCCCAGACTGCTTTCAGGAATCAGGTTGACTTTGGAGGGCAATTAAAAAGCCCTCTGGAAAAATATGCTGACCTGATACCTCATCTATATTATTTATTATATATATAATAATTATATATATGTAATATATAATAATATATATATTATTTCCTGATCTGTGGTAAATAAAGAATGTCACTGTCTGACTGGCCCAGGTGAAAGGCTAGCCTTGCAAAATTAACAGGAAGATACCTAATCCCGCAATTTCCTAGTAATAGTTAAAGATCAATCTTATTAGTTCACTCGCTAACAGGCACCTGCAGGAGTTCTGTTTTGCACAATTTCTGAAAAGAGCTGAACAGGGAGAAAAGAGATGTAAATCTTTCTCTTTCTTTTTTTCTGTGATGAGTATTTCACAATTATCTCATCTTATTTTTGAAATATTCTTTGAGGTTGATATTACTATTATCCCATTTTTACA